GCGCTGTGTCTCCAAGACGGGTGGCCGGTGGCATTCGCATCACGTGCCCTTACACCGACTGAATTCAGGTATGCTCAGATTGAAAAAGAGATGTTAGCACTGGTGTTTGCAGCTAAAAAGTTTCATGATTTCATATATGGCCGTCCTGTCATTGCTGAAACGGATCATCAGCCACTAATAACTATCCTGAGGAAACCACTGCACACCGCATCATCACGTCTGCAGGGTATGATGCTTAAATTGCAACGTTATGACTTGGATGTTATGTATAAGCGTGGCAAGGAACTGTTTGTTGCAGATGCAATGTCGCGTGCACACTTACCTGAGTCTGAGCCCCCACTTACTGATGATTTACTAGAAGTGATGGCTGTCCAGGTGATCTCCTCACGTCGTACGGATGAATTACGAAATGCAGTAAAGAGTGATGTCATCTGTCAACAGCTAGTTGAAGTCATCATGCATGGCTGGCCCAGCACCTCCAAGGAGCTACCGCAACAGTTGCGTCCGTTTTTCTCCATGAAGGAAGAGTTGACAGTAGAGGATGGACTACTTCTGCGTGGGCAAAGGTTAATAATTCCTGCAGAATTGCAAACGTTTTACGTGGGTCAACTACACCAGGGTCATCCTGGGATTGAAGCTACCAAACGCAGAGCTAGATAGACTATGTACTGGACCTCAATGTACACGGATATCGAAAGAGAGGTGTCTCGTTGTGCTGCATGCAACGCTTTGACAGCACATCACATAAAGGAACCAATGCAACTCCATGATGTTCCTGAAGTACCATGGTCATTTACTGCAGCTGATTTATTTGAGTGGCATGGCAAAATGCATCTAGTTCTGGTGGACTCCTACTCAGGGTGGTTTGAACTGGATTACCTCCCCAACATGACCAGCAACACGGTCATTGCGAAGTTGAAGCGACACTTTGCAACACATGGTGTGCCACACACACTTATGACTGATAATGGGACCCAATTCACTGGAAGGGACTTTACAGACTTTTCACAAGCATGGCATTTTAAACACATCCGCAGAAGTCCTTATTATCCACAATCTAATGGGCTTGCTGAGCGTGCAGTGAGATCCGCTAAGCACCTGCTGGAGAAGTGCCACCGTGATGGTACAGATATCCAGGCAGCCATTCTACACACTCACAACATTCCCTGTGATGGGCTCCCTTCTTCTGCTCAGCGTTTCATGTCCAGGCAAACCAGGACCTTTCTGCCAGTAACCACAGACATGCTTAGGCCTGCTATCCAAGTCAATGTGGCTGCTACCATCTCCAAACATAGAATAAGGGGGAAAGTGTATTATAATCGCAGTGCACATCGTCTCTCTGCACTAAGACCAGGGCAAACAGTCAGAGTACACACGGAACGTGGGTTTGATCAAGTGGCAAGAGTGGAAGGCCCAGCTCAGCAGTCTAATAGCTATGTATTAGCGTCACAAGGAAAGAGATATATTAGGAACAGGCGACATCTCCTACTGGTTGATGAAAATCCAATGGCAAGCCCTGAGGAGGATGTGCCACTGAGGTCCACCTCACCAGTATCGGATAGAGAAACTGCTCAAAATGACAAACCACCACCTACACCTCCTAATATCATATCAGTGATTAAAAGCAATCCACTTACACCTTCTAATATTACATCAGTGGTCAATACTGCTGCTTCATCTGAGAGACAGTTGGTGGTGACTCGAGCAGGCAGAGTAAGCCAACCCAATAAGCGTTATCAGGACTATGTTGGCACATGGCTAAAAAACTAAAACAACTGTGGTGCTCATACCTCACCATGGTTTTTATGTTTTGTGTCACCAAAATTGTCTAAATGGACTGATTATAAGATAAATTCAGTACATGATGTATTTCAGTGGGTTGTGTTAAATTGTTTAACGCGCTATCTGGAAGAAAGGGGATGTAGGGTTGTGGCACTATCACTTTAAATACTGTATATCTGTATTGATGTTAACGTCATGTGGGCGACCCTGTTAAAAGGAAATGGTAACGCATCAATAAAGACACAAGTGTTTGCATCTACATGAGCTGTGTGTGTGTATTACTGGACACTCTACACAGTGGCACAAAAGTAAACAGAACTTCGTGTAGAAATTCATCCCGCTTCGCAATATAGCCTACAGCTTGTCACTCTTCTCACTGGTTGTTGTGCAAACAATCATAAGACACAAGTTATAGACTGGCTTGTACACTACTAATTCACAAATTAACTCAGAACATCTCTGTGTCACGCTCACTCGTGTGCTTCACTCTCCCGTACTTTTTTCCCTCTCTTTTTCAACGTCACGCTCGCACCCACCTGCTCTTAACCCCATAAATGCTGGTTTACAGTTTTCAGAAATACATTATTCTCTTGACTAAAACAATAAACATAATTTTAAAACTGCTTTTAACTTTTTTATTATAACTTTTCTTTTTGAATGTTTTTCAACCTTTTTTAATCACACTACTTATAATCACTAGATGATAAACCAACAACCAACATCACTTAGCCTATAACTTTATGCATTTTTAACCTGGGTTACACCAGTATCTATTAAATTCACCTACATAGATGAGTTACACAGCACTAACACTGTTTCAGCTTTGATCACTTCGGTAAACTCGTAATAAACAGGCTGTTAAAGGGTTAGTTCACCCAAAAATGAAAATTAAGTCATTAATTACTCACCCCCATGCTGTACCAACCCCGTAAGACCTTCGTTCATCTTCGGAACACAAATAAAGATATTTTTGATTGAATCTGAGAGCTGGATCAGTCCTACATAGACTTCCTAAGGGACTGGCTCTTGACGGACCAGAAAGTCCTTAAAGAAAAGGTTTAAATATTCCATGTGCCTACAGCGGCTCAATTATAAGTTTATCAAGCGACGAGAATACTTTTTGTGCAAAAAAACATAAATAACGACTTTATTCGACTATTCCATTACTTCCTTATGGGCGCATGCGCGAGAACTGAGATGACGATGTTCTTCTTCGACTACTTCTTGTTACCGGCTGCTCACCGCTTAGGAGTATTATCGCCACCTACCGTATAAGATGATGTGCTGATATAGCTGGAAGCGCAAAACTTTCTGTTCACAAGCAGAGGAAGATCTGCCCTGTACATAAGCTTTTCAATTAGCGTATTTTCCGCACTATAAGTTGCACTTAAAAGCCTTTAAACTTCTCAAAAAACGACAGTGTGCCTTATAATCCGGAGCGCCTTATATATGGATCATCATCTTATACGGTAGGGGGCGGTAAAACTCCTAAGCGGTGAGCAGCCGGTAGTCGAAGGAGAACGTCCTCGTCTCAGTTCTCACGCATGCGCCCATAAGGAAGTAATAGAATAGTCGAATAAAGTCGTTATTTATGTTTTTTCGCACAAAAAGTATTCTCGTTGCTTGATAAACTTATAATCGAGCCGCTGTAGGCACATGGAATATTTAAACCTTTTCTTTAATGACTTTATGGGCCGTCAAGAGCCAGTCCCTTAGGCAGTCTATCTAGGACTGATCCAGCTCTCAGATTCAATCAAAAATATCTTTATTTGTGTTCCAAAGATGAACGAAGGTCTTACGGGGTTGGTACAGCATGGGGGTGAGTAATTAATGACTTAATTTTCAGTTTTGGGTGAACTAACCCTTTAATATATACGCCTACTTGCATTTTATGGTTGTCAGCTTTGTTGCATTACATTTACTTCACCAGGAGATGGTGCTGTAATTTCTATCTGAATGAAGCTTCGAGTAATGAACCATTTTCGACACAATTGTATCAGAAAGCAATAATGCTTCGAAACGCTTCATTTGGCCATCACTAGCGGAGAGTGAATCTAATCACAAGCACTTTAATTAAATGAACAAGTAATCCAGGAAAAATTACATCACAAGGGACAAGGAACCTCAACAGCAAACAATGACCAACAAACAACAACTGGAGAACAGAGGTATAAATACACAGACAAACAAGCTAAACAAGGTAACAAGGGGGCGTGGCTAATCAGAAACACCTGGGGAGACTAATCAACAAAACAGGGAACAGCTGACATGAAAAGACAGGGACCGGAACACATGACAAACAAAACCCACATGTGACAGCTTCTGCGAAAAGTAAAAGTTTGGATTTGATTGACCATTTCAACAATTTGGCCATTTTTAAATTCTGGGGGACTTGTGCTCTCGAGAACCACTGGCTCTAAATATTGCAAATGTGGTCATTAAAAATTCTATTCATAAATGGTTCACTGTAATTCATTGATTTTAATGTATGGATATAAAAAAGAAACAAAATATGAAGTGGTTGATAACTTGTCATTTACACACAAAAAAAAAAGACAAATAAATTAAGTTATTGGCTATTTTTCAGTTTGAGATGCAAGACAATCCAGCAGACAAGTTTAAGGGTAGTAGAGAAGTTTTATTGAGGATTACAGACAGGTGTAAAAACATCTGTTTCTTTCTCCCCTCGTCTGTTTTTGCTCATTCACTACTCACATTAAAATGTTTTTTTTAATGCTCAAAAACAGTTAACAGAGTGATTCAATTCAGTAGACTAGCCGAATCTGCACATGAAAAACAGAATTACACACAGAGACATGCATGAAGAAGTGAAGAAGAAACAATTCATTTAAAAGAAATAAGAGTTATTTATTAACATTATGCTCATTAAATGATGAGAGACAGTGAATATATTCTCATTGTGTGCTGTTCTTCAAAAGAAAAGAAAAAACGTTGTTCCCCTGATTCTTGCTCAAATATAATTATGCACAAATCTGTTGTGTTCATGTTCACAGATGTGCTTCATTATAGATTTCTGAAACTGTGTCATGTGTAGGCCTACAGCACAATGACTGGTTAAAAACCACATTAATATTATTTTATTACATTTTTTGGTATGATATTAATTTTTCACTTGAAAACAAAGAAAAAAGAAATTAAGAAGTGAAAAAATAATTAGGAAAACATTGTAGAGCTCTGTTCAGTTTGTTTTCTATGCATTAATAATTAATTGTGCCTTCTTCATAATGCACAGGCCAGCCTTTCTCACAGCCCAACACAACGTAACGAGTCGACATATTCCCTCTATAGGCACATCTTGGGGGTCTTGACCCACGTTTCAATTTACACGTGATCACAGGAAACTGCTGTCCGCTCTTAAACAGGTCACCACCCTGTGGACGTCCTGTGCCACAAACCGCTTTAATCTGATTTGAATTTGCTTGTATGAAGGTGTTGACATCTTTGCAGACACCGTTAGGTCCAGTAATGCCACTTTTCATTTTACGGTCACACTTCTGCTCACTCATATCAGGACCGAAATGCTGTTTGAGGAATTTTAGATAACGGGGCTTTATCTCTGCTGGTGGTTGTGGTTGAGCATGAGTGGAGAACGACACACACACGATCAGCAGCAGAATCACAGCAGACTGATGAACCTCCATGACCTGCTGCACAACACACACATTAACACACCTTTACTGACAGTTGACTAATAAAGCAGTCTGATTAAGTTAAGAAAATATTAAGAGACATTAAATAAAGAGCCGATATACCTTGTTTTCTGAGTAAAGTGATATGAAATATTCCAAGAGTTTTCTTAAGGCTGTAAAACAATGAAAAGCAAAATTAATGACTAATACTTTTGAATCTTCCACACCATTCATGTGCTGGAATGAAACTACTGGCTTCAACATAGACTTAAGTGTTGGCCAGAAAAAGTGATTTTTTTTTTTTTAACCTAACATGATGTTCAAATGTTTTACACTGCATATGTGACATTTTTCTGATTGATATTTTCTCTGGTTGAAATTGCATCACTTTCATTTGTCATCAGTTATGTTCTATTATGTCTAATATGTTATATTCTTCTTTTTCTTTTTTAACGTTGAAGCTAAATTCTAATTGGTTTATAGTTCAGCACAAATACCTATAAAGTGTTTCTGGAAAGAAAATCTAAAACTGACATTAGGTAAGTTGATACTGAGAGCAGTGTCATTCAACAGTACTAGGCAAGTGACAACAGTCGAATCAACACTATTTACATGATTTATAATGCACATCACAAGGACACTCATCTGAAATGTAAGTTTTTCAGTTGTGCTGCTTTTTTAAGACCTGCTACACCAATGTACACCTGTACACTCAATATGATTATTGATACACAACATCTTTCCAAATTGGCTGCTTAAAAAGAACAGTAATCTACAAATAGGCCTACGCAATAATCGGGGGAAAAAGTGGATATACTTACATATTACAGCCTTCAGTCCTGTCACAAACCGATTCTGTTCAGCAAAGTTCAGGGATTGCCGTTAACTCAGATCATCAGGCTTTTAATACTCAGATGTGAGCAAATAAAAGTGTGATGTTTGCAGTTAACAGCCAATCCCTGAAGAACAAGCGATTAGATCAGAGATTATCTATAGATAAGATATTTCTTTCCAAGAATGAATGACAAATAAATAATGTCAATTTGTTTAGTAACATTAAAAAAAAATGTTTTTCTTTTCCTGGTTTGTATGTCTCCACAACAACTGCTATCACATTATTGTAAGAATGTTCGGGAGTTACATACCCGCCTAAAGACGCCAACCATCAAAAACAGACAACAGTTGCATGCCTGAATGACTAGACCGATAGCGTTAACACCGGTCCTAATGAAATGTTTTGAGAGATTGGTACTGAGCAGCATCAAGGACTAATCTGGACCAACATCAATTTGCCTAACAGATGCACCGATGACGCCAGCTCACTTGCACTTCACACTGCCCTCGCTCACCTGGAGAACCCCAACACATATGTCAAGATGCTTTTTGTTGACTTTAGTTCAGCTTTAACACCATCAACTCCAGCAACAAACTGCTGTTACTTGGCCTGGACTCTTTTTAACATTTCATTTCATTTTATTAGAGGATAACGCCTTGGGATGGATTATCTCGTTTTTGAGAGGGTCCTCAGACTCTCACCTCTGTAAGTGGATTACGAACTTTCTCACTGACAGACCCCAGCATGTCAGACTTGGAAATATTACCTCCTACACCACCATCCTCAACACTGGCACTCCCCAGGGTTGTGTTCTTAGTCCACTCCTTTACTCACTATTATGACTATTTTCCCATTCATGACTCAAACTCCATTTTCAAATTTGCAGATACTACAGATGTGGTGGGGCTGGTTACCAACAATGAGTAGACCCTCTACAGGGAGGAGGTCCAATCACTGGTATCATGGTGTAGCAGAAACTTCTTAATCATCAACACAAAAAAATATATATATATTGTAATCGATTTTAGGAAATTTAAAAACAAAAGTCATGACAGTCTTGAGATATATATTTTCTTTGTGTACATGGAGAGGAGGTAAAACAGGTCTAAAGCTTCAGATATCTGGGGCTGGCGGAGGATCTGACCTGGGGAGTGAACACCAACGAGATAGGGAACCCTAAGAAGCACTGGGCTGCCCAGGAGCTCCTCACAAACTTCTACAGGTGCACAATAGAGAGTGTGCTGGCATACAGCTGCACAGTGTGGTTCTCCAGCTGCACTACTGAGGAGAAAACAGACCTAAAAAGAGGTAAATAAAACTGAATCTAAACAACATTTATCTCAGTGGGCTTCAGAGAAGAGCAGCAAGCATCAGCGTGGATCCTACACATCCTGGTCCTTTTCGACACCCTATCAGGCAGGCTCAGGGTCATGAGGGCACGGACAAAACGCATGAGAAACAGTTATTTTTATTTTTTATTTTTTTTTGGGTCAGGGGCCATAAATGGGCTGCTGAAAGGCTGAAAGATGTTGGAAGACTAATCAAATTTGGTTTTAAAATATACTGAGATTTAAAAATAAGCAATTTAGCAAAAACCCATTCAAAAATCCCACTTCCGGTTCCCTCGCTCTAAAAAGTCTATGGGATTGTTGAATGGGTTTTTGCTAAATCACCTGAAATAAGGTCTGTGGTGAACAAAGCCTCTAAATATTTTCACTTTTTGATCTGACAAAACACACAATTACTTGTGTTTTTTAAAACTTTATACAGGCTTCAAAATGTATACATTTTGGATTAACTTGTAAAGATTTTCTTGATAGACAAAGTAAGGCTCGCAACTCTTTGTTGAACACAGATCTTGTTTTTTGCGATTTTCCAAAAGTCTATAGGGAAAATGCATAGATTTTCGTTTGAGGGAAGTGAACCCATCCGCCGCTAACTTTTTGCAGAGTGATCTCATGAAATGGTGTATGTATGACACGCCAATGTTTGTTTCCAATTTTGGCATGCTATCAACAGGCATAATCGCTTTTCAGCATGTTTATGAACGTCGTGTTTGTGAACGAATTTGTTAAAGGGTTAGTTCACCCAAAAATGAAAATTAAGTCATTAATTACTCACCCCCATGCTGTACCAACCCCGTAAGACCTTCGTTCGTCTTCGGAACACAAATAAAGATATTTTTGATTAAATTTGAGAGCTGTATAACTACCACATTGGCTCCTAAAGGACTGCCTCTTGACGGCCCAGAAAGTCAATGAAGAAAATGTTTAAATATCCCAAGTGACTACCGTGGCTCAACTATATGTTTATCAAGCGACGCGAATACTTTTTGTGCGAAAAAAAAAACAAAAATAGCGAGTTTATTCGACTATTTCTTTTCTTCCTTGTTGGCCAGAAACGAGATTTCCTTTGATTTCCACGACGCATGCGCGAGAATTGCGATCTGAAGTGGTGTAAGCTGATGTGAGCAGATCGCAAATCTCGCGCATGCGTCGTGGAAATCTGAGAGAAAAATGAGTCGAGGCAAGGATATATTTTAATTAAACAGATGGTAATCCAAAACAGTGGCAAGGAACAAGGAAAGATTGTTATTTTTTTAGTCAAATTTTAAACAGACAAAGTCAATGTACAGTCACAACTGTAATAGTTCACATTGAAAATCAAACAGCCATGAGGTATAAGGCTAACCACTATGTAAATGTGTATTTGATTTTTTTGTAATTATGTGTATGAAAAAAATGATCTTGATATATATTTAAATTTCCTTTTCAAGAGCCAAAAATAAAGGTTGGGTTTTTCTGTATTTGCATCAATAAATACAAGCGCTGGGACACGTGCAGTGACGTTCCTGTAATCAGGTGTTTCGGGCCTTTCAATATCATTGTTCCCAGAAGCACCAGCCCATAGATCACTACTCTAAAGCCACAGCCATCTGGAGGCTCTTTCTGCAGCCTCCATAGTGGACTTGATGGCTTTCCTCTGCCAAGCAGCATATAGACGTTACACAGTGATCAGCCAGAGAAGCCTCTAACACCCCACTTCGATAGGCTCACAGCAGCATGCCTTCCAGTCTGACCTTCTGCACGTCTTCCGTTAATTCGCCTCTTAAATGCAGTCCTCCAAGGAACTGTGAGCTCTATCAGGAGTGGCTGATGTTACCATTACGTCTGGCCATAATGTGAACCGGGAACTTAAGTGAACCGGGAACTGGCCATAATGTGAACCGGGAACTTGGCCATAATGTGAACCGGGAACTGATCCCAGTCTGAAGCCGAGGTGAACAGCCCACCTGCCGGCTTAAGTTGTGAGTGTGGCTGCTCCTGGGCCCTGACAAAGGTGATGTTCCTCCGGTGGCACTTTTTGGCCATGGCTTTGGTGATGGAATCTGCAATGGACCTTAGCACCTGATCGTGCCTCCTCTAGGGATGTTGGACTGTTGGCTTGGCTGTAGGCTGCTTGAACCAATAACTTGCAGCTCGGAAACTGCCGGCCAGATCTTGGTCCATGAGATCTTCTCCTGCTCACACTCCCACTCAGTCCCTGCTGCCGCATGCCCACCATCCTGCTGGTCCTTTCCTCTTCAGCACCAACCTGCACCTCCTCCAGGACTAACAGGCAGTGCTCCCTAACAGAGGCCTTGGATTTTGGTTGGCCCTAACCCTTTCGAAAGTAATTTATTTGACTTTATTTCCCAATGAAAAAAAAGTCCACTAGTCTATTCACAATACAGTTTGGAGTAGTGACTATGTTGAATTAAAGAACAAATAATATTATTATATTTAGGGGCAAAACTAAAAGTTTCCAAATTCCTGTATCAAGTAAATCTAAAGCAGAAGGCATTAAACGAGTATAAACGAGTTTGGACAGGAGAGTCATGAACGCACATCACAGAAAAGAGCAAGTCGACCATTTGAGCTTATAAAACTTAAACTTTGTTGTTTTTTTTTGTTTTGTTTTTTAAATGAGTGATCGTTTCGCTTGATAAGACCCTTATTCATCGTCTGTTTAAACGTGTCGTTTAAAGCCCTTTGAAGCTGCACTGAAACTGTATTTTGGACCTTGAACCGTTTGGACCCCATTGAAGTCCATTATATGGAGAAAATCCTGGAATGTTTTCATCAAAAACCTTAATTTCTTTTCGAATGAAGAAAGAAAGACATGGACATCTTGGATGAC